ATTATATTTTTTAAGGTTTTTAGTTTTAGTTTCATTGTTCTAGTATATATATACATTTTGCTATATTTTGATATCTGTTTTTGTACATTATGTAACAGAACAGCTACGAAGTTACACACTGCTGCGATAATAACGACGCAATAGAAGTATGACAAGATATCATAATTACGGATCCGATATTATGGACCAGCAATAACACGCTGATAGGGTTGAGGCTTAAATAGCAAAAAATAGTCAATCCCGTTTCTTAAAAATATTATAAATCATAATGTCATCACAGGTTTCGTGTTGAAAAATCCAATTCTATTTGACACAGTGACATAAATTTACGGCTTATAAAGGAGTAAACAGATTTCTTGGATGTCTTCCAATTTTGTTATTAGCTACGATGAAACTCGACGCATATCTGCCCAAAGAGATTTCCATTTAAGTGTTGTTACTTATAAAATGCAAATTTTGGAAATGCGCAACTTAGGAAATGCGTCCAGAAAGACAAAAACATTGTCAAGAACTAAATTATTTCCAAAATAAATTGTGCTCCACGAATATTGACTCCGGAGAAAATCTATATCCCCTGTCCCTTTGATACGACACCAACGTCTACCTTTACCTTCATTTGAGTTCTCCTTGCTGGGCTCTGCTCCCAAAATTTTATATTCTAAGTTGTCAAGAACATGGTCGTATTTCGAGTGAGTCAGTCGGATGGAAATTCGGTTCGCGTCGGGTTCAGTCGAGTCGTCGTGACAAGAATGCGTCGCCTTTGCGAGTTGATCGTATCTGTGCTATGTGTGAAATAGTGTCCCATTTTTTTCAGCGCGTGTTATCTGGTACGAAGGATCCAATTCCATTTTCGAACGTAATGAGTTCCAGGAATTCGGTTCGTTATAGTATCTCATTTTCTTCGCTGTTGTTAAATATTCTTAGAGTAATATAATTTTCTTACGTTGGTTTCAATAATGAGGTTTTTGTGAAACATTATTAAAAATAATAATTGTATATTCACGGCATAAAAAACCCAATAAAATGTCTGATTCAAATTACAAAAACAAAAAAGTAAAAAAAATATCATAAAATCATAAAGGAAGAGTAAAAATAAAACAGCTTCTATAAGAATATCTACGTTATTTGATACCCAGTATGTAAATAAAATATGAAATTATTAATTCTTTGTCTTCAAACAAATGTCTTCGCAGACATAAATACTTTTTGTGGTGTTTTTTTGCATCGGTCTCTTAAAATATATGATAATTATCCAGATTCAGATATGTTCTCTGTCTGTCAAAATTATTTTATTAATTTGTTATGCGCTGAATTACATAAATTAAGGTTTATTTACTTGACTAAGGTTTGATATTTTTCACTTAAGGTATAATTTTTATTTTTATTGTTTATTTCTTCCATAAAATTTCTCTAGAATTGCATCAAAATTAAATTAAGGTCTAGTGACATTATGGATGAGAAGATCAATACATAAAATTGTTATCTATAAATGCATAGGTTTTTAAACATCTGTTCTTCTAAATTAACTACTAATTAATTAAAACCGAAATCTTCATTACTGTTATCCATAATAAAAGAACTAGAAGAAAGAACAGAAAGCTGCCCTGTGATCTTCATCAAACATTACCTACATAAAATCTAAATTGACCTCGTAAATTATTAACTTCTTTACTGTCCATCTGAAGTATTTTATTTCCACAGCGATTGTCCTCCACGACAGTTTCCGTTGAACTTTTAACGTCTCTTTATTTTTTAAAAGCTCTTAATTTTTTGTTTTTGTCGTCCCTAAATTCTGTATTCGCAAAAAGTGTATGATAAACGCAGGTACTAGAAGCGGCAAATTGACACTAATTCGACTTTATGCCAACTCCGGAGTGCAGAAAATGTTACAGTTGCGGTCGGATGAGGTAATGTGAACTTTATGTTAAGAGGCTTAAAGCCGTTCTGAAGCAACAGGGTGGTGGTAAAAATAACACTTCAAGTTGGGCACGGTAATGGAAAGTTTTTAAGACGATAATGCTGAGCCCTGATAATGGACCCCTGTCCGAGTTCTTTTCGCTACCTAGTTGAAAAGGCAAGCCATTTACACTAACCTGTTTTTCATTCATTCAAAATGGGTTTCCCTCATTTTCTTATGACATGCTTAGTAAAAGTTTTAACGAAAGCTTGTTTCACACGTACCACAACCACAACACTGATTTGCTTTAAATTCATAGAAAACATTTTGCCGTCACTATTGGCCGCATGTGTGATGCCGATCACACCGCAGTCACGTCATCACAGCGCAACTACCAGCGACATCATGCCGCATTGCAATCACCTCTTTCAGGTTCGAGTGGTGTAGAGGCTCCTAAGGGAGAGGCGACTCCTCCCGTGGGGAGATGCCATCCGCTTTGAATACCTCTAGAGGCACTCGCAAATTTTCGGCTTCAGGTCCCCTTAGGATCTCGCCGTTCCCAAACCCGATGACGCTGTAAAGGTCATCTGCGACCAACATGTATACACACTCAAAAAAAATCGCAAACACTTGTTTCCTCTACAAAAGTTACGTACGCTAAGCAACCACTAGCGACAATGCAACCACATCCACATTATGAAGGTAACCGCGAGAAGTCGCAACGACACTGCTCACACGTCACGTCAACACAGTGTAATCACTTTTAGTGGTACATACATGTAGTTTTGCAAAAATTAAATGTTTTTTGGTTTTCGAAAATAAACCCAGTACAGTCTGGCAATCTAAGAAAGAGGCTGTTAAATTATGAACCTCTCCTACAACTTAATTATGTAATTGAAGGTAAATATTGAGTCGGGGTCACCCTTTCAGGCTTAAGCTTTAGTAATAGAAAAAAAGCGAGAGCGCACCATAAAACTCATATAAGTACCTATCATTTGTATTGAAATAGTTTATAAAACTATTTTGTATCAAAAACGTAATTCATATTAGACTTTGCTTTGTACAAAATCTGAAAAAGCTCTAATCATCATCATCAAAACCTTTAATGAAAAGAATTGTCAGTGTTGTGTTGATTAAATGGTAAAACAAGTCATATTTTAAATTTATTTACTGTTACGTGAAAAGCTAAATTATCGCGTGAAGGTTATATAGGTATTTATGTACCAGATAAATCTTAAAGATCATTCCTCATCATAAATTCGTTTCTTATCGTCTCGCTAATATTTCTCCTTCAATGAGTATCTATCTAATACATTATTGGTGTTCATTCCAATTTTTGATTTTAACAGCTTAAGTTGGTTACCAGAATAACACGCCGCTCTCAGATAGTGAAATACGTCTCTTAAATCGAGAGCTGACCTTTTCCGAGGCAACGACAGGCCTCGACGTTTTAAGAGACTTGATGACACTGTCCGTTATCCATCGCCCCTTTTCTATTTCCCTAAACGCAAGGGAATCTAAACTAAAGTAGTTTTGTAATAGGTGCTTGGAGGAAATTGCGTCGTTCCTTTGTTTCTATGGTGTAGGTAGGCTGGATGAGGGGTTCTTTGGTGATTGTTTTTTGTTTTCGTCCCGAGTTACTCCATTCGGCAAGTTTACATACTTACGTAGTTTCGAGAGATATTCTTGGCAAGCACTACAGTTTTATATTCTTTTTTTGTATTTTAATCGCCGTATTATTGAGATCTGAAATGCTATAATCTTTTTGATTTACACTCATGCTTTAAATCCTGTAATAACCAACGCGGCAGCCGATGGAATGGGACACTAAGTAAATGACAGTATCTACCATTTACCTAGTTTCAAAGATTGAGAAATGAAAATCAAGATCATGTTAATTATATTTATGTTATTTCACCAAATTCTCAAAAAATTATATCATGTGAAATGTAAACAACAAATAATCTACCAAGTGAATAAATTAAAGAAAAAAATCTTATTTTTATCATGTCGCCCGCAGTGAAACAAAATAAAAGATGAAAGCGTATTAATGAGAGAACTACAATTGTCAAGTATAAAAAAGACAACCAATGTTTATCTACGAGAAGTAAAAAGGAAGTAGTTACATTCACAATGAGAGCACTAATGAATGACTATTAATGGCTACTACAACAATGTAGTGTCACGAGATATAGTAGGATCAATATTCACCCCCAATATTAAGATCATGAAAATCTGCCGGGTCATTTACCCGTCTCGGAAGAACCAATGTTTATTAGACATGGCTAACGACATATAATTTACGATAATAACCCAGTATCCGCTTCCCTATTTTGGTACAAAATAGCGATATAAATAAATTGGCTACCGGTCGTGATAAAGTAGATAGTTTAATAATTTTACAATAGCGTAAACTAAAATTTTAATATCTATTATTATTCAATCCAATAAAATTGCTTTTGAGGTAATCGAATGCAATACATAAAAGATATCAATCAAATTAACTACATCTTCTTGTTGAATTTTTAGTTTATACAATTTTGTGAAATCCCTTGTCTCGTATGGTTTTTGATATTCCCAGATGTTAATGATATACATAATTGACCCTTCCGAGTACTAAAAGTGGTGAGACCGCAGTAAATACTAGTGACAGCTTGTCAAAGTTAATTCCTTTGTAGGTAATCAGAATTTCCTCGAAGTTTACTCATAGTGGTCAATATGCAAATAGTTTGTAAACTTTATACACTTTGTGGTTATTGAGATGTTGAAGCTAACAGAACCAAATTACCGTACCGAGGTATTCGCTTTAAGTTTAATTACAGAGAAGGTCAAACTTACGGGTAATTTAATAATAACTAAGGGTCCATTGATCCGTTGTGTCCATGATGAAGTAACTAGCTTTTCTGAATTGTGTTATTAAAACTCTATTAAGGATTCCTCATTTGAAATTTGGATTTTTTTAGGAAGTTATATCGCTTGTGGTTCTTTTTTATCGTTCTTTTTTCCCAGAATTATGTAATCAAATAGTTTCCATTAATTCCTTTTAATGTTATATCATTTATAATCATCCTCAAAATTTCATAAAGCGTTTTGTTTGTTTCAGATGCCGAGCCAACGATCCGTGTGCCACGACAGGAGATGATAAAACTGACGAGAGTGTAAAAAATGATAACATGACGAAATATGTTACATAACGGACATTTCCACAAAGCGCGGACTAAAATATGTGTTACGAGCATGTGTCGTAATGATCCCAAAAAATACTTGCACGATAAAGGGAACATCAAATATCCCGCGCAACAACAGAGCTGCTTTAATTTATATTGTATTCTAGTTGTGACGTTTTTGTCGATGCATTCCGTGAATTCAAACACAACAAATATGAATCGTCACGCTACAGACAGAAATAACAATAAAGATTACAGTATAAATAAACAGAGCGATCAGCCAACTGACGATAATTATGACGATCATAACCCAGCACATGTGAACGAAAACGTAGATTATACAAAGGTCAATTTCGATAACAGCCCTTATTATAACAATGAACATTTTCTACATACAAATAGCAAATTTTACAATACTGAGAACAATGCTTATAGCAATTACGATGACTATAAGCATTATTACTTGAATCCTACGAATCCCGTTCCCAAGTCAAGTGTAAAGTTTAAAATTAGCAGTAGAATAGTTCAGACTAAATATGGAAAATTACAGGGCATAGTTTTGGCTATGGATGAACATAGATATTTGAGTCCTCTTGAAGTATTTTTAGGTGTCCCATACGCAACGCCACCAGTTGGATCAAACAGGTTAGTTTAAAAACTATAGTTATTATGTAATGTATTCATTAGCCAGCATGTTTCGTCATGTTCGTATAACTTAGTGTCTCTTAAATTTTACTAAAAATGGAAGTATTGAAATATCGGAAAATAATATTTAAATTATTTTAATATAATTAAAATAATATTTGTTTCTTAGGTTTTCCGGCACATCACTTATTAAATAAAACTAGTTTTAACGGGTTAATGAACGAAACTTTATTTATTTATTGACGTTTCGCAGCCTTTTCAGGTCTGCTTCGTCAGAATAATGATTTTTTATTTAATTTTGTCAGCTTCGAAAGACTTTTATTGAGCGTTCGGTTATTTCATTGTTAGATTTTTAAAATTTTATTATCTATGTATGACTTTATTAGCTAATTTAGTTAATAAAGTACTTTATTAAAAATCTTATTTGTAATTTTGAGTTTATTTATTTGACCCTAACTACCGTAAACTACCACCGGTTCCAAAATTGGGAGACCTTTCTGAGAAGAACGGGCGAAACAAACTCAAGAACATAAGAAGGAGATAGCAAGCCTCTCTTGAGTTTGTTTTTGTGAGATAACCTGTTAAAACTAGTTTTATTTAATTAAAACAATTTAAAAATGCTGTAAATGATTTAAACACAAATATTTTTTAGACAATGACAACAATAACCATTTTATATTCAACTAGTATTAATATCTAGTAAGTTTATATTTAAAAGAAGTCAATACATTTGTGCCCTTATTTGTAAATTACTTGTTTAATTTCATATAGGCCTCATGAAATGTACCCTTTTAGTTTTATAATCGTGCTTCGATTACTCAAGAAATTATTAAATTTTCTTATTGAAATGTTTTAAACTGATATTAACGTTTTTTTAACGACTCCTAGTACCCTAATCTATTTCATCGTTTTGTTCGTTTAAAACATCTCTAAAGAGAGACATATCTTATATATCATTATTTTTTTATTTAATATTTTTTTGCATTTGCATTACAAATGGCGGACTTAATGCCAATATGGCATTCTCTGCCAAAGTAGGTTGAGGGTGCATATCGAATAAGTGATGTATTTTTGAATAAACTCTGTAGAAGATTACTCTGTAATTTTGACTATTAATTAGGTTCAGTCCGACAAGAACACCGTCGCCGTGGGATGGAGTGAGAGTATCTGATAGGCCGGGTGCCGCTTGCCCACAGAAGCTACCAGATCTTGATGACGAAAGGACCATATTAGAGAAAATGCCTAAAGGCAGACTAGAATATATAAAAAGACTGATGCCTTATCTTAAGAATCAAAGTGAAGATTGCCTATATTTAAACATATTTGCACCGTTGCAAAGTGAGTATAAGAATCTTTATAGTAATAGGGATGATGAATAATTTTTTCTACTTCGTTTATAAGGTAGATTATCAAAAAGTATTGGATACGTATTTTTTCTTTTTTCACATAGTATAAACATTGCAGAGATATATCGACTTGAAAAGTCGCATGACTTCACGTTTGAGTACACTTATAAGTGAGAATTCACTCAAAAGTGACGTCACGAGCCCCTACTCCCAAACTTTGACGCGCTATAATTTTGTAATTTTTTGGTTGGTTGCCCAAAGAAAAAATACGTGTCCATTATTTTTTGATCATCTAACTGACGGACTAAATAGAATTTCGTTTACTGTACCCCGTCATCACCCCTATATTAGCCCGATTAAGAAACAATCACATTCTGTTTAAGTGTAATGTTTTTATCTAAAGAAAAATTAACTAGAAAAAATACCACGCGGACCAGGCAGCACAGGTTATCTACAACGCGAAGAGATTGCGCTGCATTGTAGCCTAAGAAATACTAGAGACGATTCGACACGGCCATTAGGTCCCGTGATAGCATAATGGTCCGTGCATCCGCCCGGATAGCGGAGGGTGCGGGTTCGAGTCCCGTCTGCAGCCTGGTCCACTTAGAACGTCAATAGATAAAATTTTCTTTAGATTTAAATATACAGCAGTAAAATGCTTAAAAATGAAAATATCGCTTTAATTTTTATTTTCAATTTAACAAGTATATTTTAATAAAAAAAAATAAAGCGTCTCATCAACTAACATCCTTACGAAGCCTGAAAATACAAGTATAATTTTCAAATTAATTTCATTATTTTAAATTCATTAGGCACGTTATTACAATCGACTGCGTAAAAAATCATAAAAAGAATAAATTTAACAATAATTAGGTACTGTAATGATATTGTTGGGAGGGACCCTAATTTATTATTCTATTAAACTATCAATTTTTAAATGAAAGAGTTGGCAAACAAGTATAATGATGATAGTTCGCCTGATGTATTCATCACACTTAATGACCTTTGCGACCGCAATAATATCAGTCTGGCAATACCTAACCTGACCCTATTTAAGGGTAAGCACCCTCAATTCTACCTATTACATGAGCTTGATTTATTTCGAGCAACGAGACAATATAAAAGCGAATATATGAAACTGTATACAAATACTCATATTTGATCGAGCTCGATGGCGCAGGTGGTTAGCCCATTCGGCTGTGATCGTTGAAGTTAAGCAACTTTCGCATTGGTCGGTCATTGGATGGGTGACCAAAAATCTTCAGTCTCGAGTTCCTCCGTACTTCGTAAGGCACGTTAGGCCGTTGGTCCCGGCTGCATCTGTAGTCGTTAGCACGCGCCAATGCGCATTGGGCCCGCGTGGTGGGTTATGGCCCAATCTCCCTATTCCATCCAAAGGGAAGGCCTGTGCCCCAGCAGTGGGGACATTAATAGGTTGATGATGATGATGGGTTATAAATTACTAGCTGAGCCCCGCGGTGTTACCCGTGGTTAATTAGGGATATTTTCCTGTTGAACGTAGCTTATGTGTTAATCTAGGATGTCAGCTAACACCATACCAAATTTTATTGAAATCGCTCCAGTCGTTTAGACGTAAAGAAGTAACAAACATACACACTCATACACTCACTAACTTTCGCCTTTATAATATTAGTGTGATATAGAGATTATAAAACAGCATTCGCTATGCCCCCTATAGTGCTAGTACCGCATCTCAATGCTTTAAAGTCAAATTTAACTAGACCAAGTTTACGCCAGGCAGCTATTGCATTACTTCAAGATGGAGTATTGAAAAATCAATCTTAGTAACATAGGTTTAGTGTCCATCCATATGATACGCCTGATACGGCCTTCTAATCCAAACACAGCAACCCGTCGCGTCGCCATTAAAAATTATATTTGCTTATGATCCCAAATAAAAGCTTTTGGACTGAATAAAGCACCTCGTGTACCCGAGAACGGTAAATGGGCTTTTAATGGGTAAGCGCGCGCTATAATAGACAGTGTCGACATTTTTGCAGACATAATTGCGGTCCACTACATAGGTATATATTTTCACGCCAGCCGTATTACGTCTGCGGTAGGCATACAATACCGACCATTCCTGTGTAACATCATTCGCTTCCTTACATTCGTGACATTTTTCGTACACATTCAATAAGGTATATACGAGTACATGATACAACCGTTTTACTACTAACCAAAAATAAATGTGATGAGCTAGATCCGAATTCTTTAGATAAGTATTTAGCGTCCCTAGTAAGACAGCATTCTTTATAGTGGAAAATTTGTACCACACTGCATACACTCAACTAGTTTTCGCTTTACTGAGTATTTAAACTGCCAAAAGATCAGTACCCTTAGTACGAGTTTTACAATTGCGAAAACTATGATAGTTTTCGTGAGCTCGCACTCATACTAAGGGTCCTGTTTTGTTGTTTTCGTATCAATACAATTAAACAGTGTTTTAATTATATCATTAAATCATTTGCGTCTTCTTAATTTTTAAGTATATTTGGTTACTTTTCACCAAAATTAACATAGAAACATAATTTACAATTACGAAAACTAAGATAGTTTTCGTGAGCTCAAACTGGTACTAAGGGTACAGGTGTATTTGCATTAGTAATAAAAAAATCAGTAAAGTTCAACGCGAAACTGTTCTTCAAATAAAAGTTATTATGATTGGAAAACCAATTTATGCTTATCAAATAAATAAATGCCCTTCCGATTTCGAACCCTCTTTTTTTGTAGCAGAAGGCAAATCATTACTGTCGCGCCTACCGGTCTCCCAAATGTACAAGGATATACTGTTCTTTCATTGAATATATCCAGTGTAAACGTAAATACATAAAGACATGACAAGCCTAAACGAGATCCAGTTCTCGCTGTGATGTTCCAGTTCTTGATGAGATAGATTTTTCTACAATCATACCTATTTTGCTTTAATACACATGTATGACAAGCTGTTTTGCGCCAAGGACATTATTGCGAAATTTAACGAAAGAAAATGTTTGGAAACTAGTTTACGAATAGGAACTTTAAAAACTATTTACTTTATTATTACACACTGAATTGCAGACGTATGGCACATTGTAAGACTACATTAACAATAAAGATATTAAATTAATTCTTATTTTTCAGTGGATGAAACAAAATTAGCACTGCCTGTATTAGTCTACATTCACGGTGAAAGCTACTCCTGGAGTTCCAGTAATCCATATGATGGTGCGGTCCTCGCGAGCTATACAGATCTCATCGTTGTAACATTAAACTTTAGATTAGGCGTTTTAGGTGAGTTATTACATACATTTGTCATGCTAGTTCAAAGTTTTGTCATGTAGAGGGTAGTGAGATTAATGTTGCCTTAGATAACCGTATGTGGGTTATCATAGTGTGTATTCACAATGTCATTGAGATTGTAAGCTATTTTACTAACATGACTGAATGACTGTATTCGATAAAGTAGGTATTAGGACTTAGGATGAATCCAGTACGAACAGTCAGATCATGGAAATATTAATATTAAGTAGAGAGACAAAAATACAAAATTCAACCTTGAATGTAAATCACAATTTGATGATTTGAAAAATAAATCTAAATATTTGTATAGCTGACAACAAGAAACAGATCCTTTTGAAGTCGCAGATCTTCTTTTTATATTGCGGATACTTTTTATCTTTGTCGCAACAGACGTAAAGTTTGTTGAATTCATCTTCGCCGGAATAATTAAAATGGATTAAAACTTTCGTCTTTTTTCATTTCGAAACATCGCGAATGTCAACTGGCCTAAAAAGTTTTGAGCCCTTGAAACATAAAATTTAATCAGCAGCGGCCTAAACGGAATAAAGCCAGCTTGGTGGACGAAAACAGAGAAATATTTGTTCCGAAAACAATGACATCGTTTTCCCGAAATGGGAACAAAACATAAAACATGTTTTGTATTAAAAAAGCAAGGAGTTTTGAAAATGGTAGTCATTAAATTTTTTAAACAAAGAACTTTAAAGTTTCGATAATTTTATGAATTAGGTCATATACAAGGACCGAAAGTAATGTGATGCAAGTAAGATATTTGGACATATACCATTTTGATCCAGATTATCTTTGACTTAAAAGCCTGTGTAAAGGTTCTATAAGGTAAATGTAATATTGGAAAAGAAACGAGGTACAGGGTTGAAATCGGTATTAAAATGCTATTTCTATATCTACGAGACATTACTAAATTGCATAGATTAGTTTAATCGATTTGACCTTTAAAAGAAACAAATAAATAAAATTAATAACTATACTGCATGACCAATTACTAAAGTACAATCCACTTTTATTTCCAGTTACAAAATCTCTAGAATTCTCTCTTTTCGTAATTTTAAAGGAGACTACAATGATGTTAGCTGAAGCAAATTTGTACAGTCAACAGAAAAGCAATGCACCTCTCTAATTGGAATTGAAGCCGGCGACCTTCAATTGTTAGTTTCCAACTTTGAATGTAAATTGAAAACTGAATATTGAGTTGATAGGGCCCTTTCTATCCCAGCGAGCAGTTGTTCGTTGTTCAGTGGGCATACTATTGTTCTGGACAAGACATTCAATTAAATTAAGTTGAAGGCACAAATACAATGATTAGGCAAACAAATTTTATACATTGACAAATTAATGTAGAACAATGAATAAAGGTTTTCCAACAATGAGGGAACGTGGAATTACTTTTGAAAGCATCAAAGATTTTTCGTAACTGTAGAATTGCCTTATTTCTTGTTCATTTGCTTCGCAGTTGTGATCTAAAAAAAATTTCAGCTAATAATTATGTTGCAGGATTTTTAAATGCAAATCCAGTACCGAACTCGAAGGCGCGAGTGGCTAATTATGGACTGATGGATCAGATAGCGGCACTGCATTGGGTGCAACAAAACATAGCGTTATTTGGAGGCGATCCAACGAACATAACATTAATGGGCCACGGGTCAGGGGCCGCATGTATAAACTTTCTTATGATATCGCCCACTGTTATGCCAGGTGCGTACGACAGGCTGTTTTGATAGCTGAATGTTGGTATAACAATCGCGTGTTGTTTCATCGTTAATGAATCCCTTTTGTATTTACATAAGAATGTGTATTGTTAATATGCCAAGTTTTCGATTGAATGCATTAATTTGTATAACAAAAACCTCGTTTAACAATACAATTAATACATATACAGCAAATTATAATCTTGAAAATTATATGCCAATGGTGTTATTTTAATTAAATAATCCTTTCAAGCACCTATAGAATAAAATAAAGCCGTATTACGTCTTTGTTCTGAGATTTCAATTAACTTTAATTCATCACATACCTAATGAATCCTTCATTTATTTTTCGCAAAATCCTATTTCACGGCTGGGTTTCAATCCTCCACATACGCTGCGGGCGGCAGAAATTAATTAAGTAGATAGGTTTAGCGGTGAGGCTGACCTGGAATTGGTAGTAGGATTACTCGAAGGCATTTCGTTTAAGAAACTCCAAGATTGTCCTTAAATTAGAAATCTTCGTACCTTTCGGAAAGACGTCCTTTGCTTACGTAATAACTAGGGCACGGATAAATATGTATTCAAAAATTCTAAATATGTACATATAATATGGACAAAAATATGGAGTATAAAATAAGAATATCTGTCATAATAAACATTGTTTATTGTGAAAAATTACTATGCACTAAAAGTTGCATTAAAAAAAAGATGAAAGCGAAATGTTCAGGTCATTCAAATAAAAAAATGAAGATTTATTCATGTTCCTCTATATCTGTCTTATTAAATTGATAGCAGTACCATGCGATTGTCACATGATTTTTTAAATTATTGAAATTAAAACTTTGTCGATGTGGATAAGTATAGCCTTACATTGGCTGAAAAATCTTTCCACATAACATGATGTAATGGGAGCGTATTTAAAGACGCCTGTTTCTAGCCTAGCGCTTGCTAGCCGCTAGTACCGCAGCGCACGGGGGTAGACAATGTGGAATTAATGAATTTAGAGAATCAAAAATCTAATTACGACGAATAATACGCGAGAGAATGAAACACGCGCGGCCATCTAGTGGTGAGAATGCAAACATGTAAAATTATATAAATTTTTGTGAACTAACTCATGTTTTATGATATAAAAATCGAAAATATGGATGATTGTGATATTTTATTGGAAAATATGAAGTTAACCATGAAATATGGAAAAATATGGAAAATAAAAATTCCTTTTTCACAGTCCATTTAAGATAATCTAGGTAGAGAACACAGATGAGACCGAAAATCGTGTAAATTATAAATAGGTATCAACATATTAATCCGGGCCCTAATACTCACATTAAGACTGTTCGGTATCTGAATAAATTTGCAACAGACATGTTTTAATAATTGAGTTTTCTAAAATGTTTGTTTTTTATCTGCAGGTTTATTTCATCGGGCGATATTATTGTCTGGGTCGGCTTTAAGTTCTTGGGCGATAGTTGATGATCCAGTGTATTATACCTTGAAGTTAGCTAAGCACATGAATTGTACTATACCGGAAGATATGTCCAAGGACCACGAAGTGATAGTCGATTGTTTAAGAGAAGCCACTATCGAAGAATTGTTATCAATAGACATATCACCTCCGAACTTTTTAACAGCTTTTGGACCATCCGTCGATGGAGTAGTTATAAAGACAGATTTCGCTAAAGACTTCCTTACCATGTATTCCACTGGAGATTTTCCATCGTTCGGTCCGCTCAATAATATGAATCAGAATTTGAATTCACATAAAAAGAGAAGCGACAGCGGCAGAAGGCTGTTCCAGAATAAATACGATTTACTTTTTGGTGTGGTGACAAGTGAAGCTTTGTGGAAATTTTCGGCCCATGACGTTCAAAATGGAATTGAGCCCGACAAAAGAGATCGAATGTTGAGGTAAGTCAATATGAAACGTCGCTTGAACGACAGCGTGTGTGTTTGTTTAATAAAAACATTGAAACGAGCTACGGTTACAATGTCTCCAATTAAGTATTTTATTTTAACGTGATGTGAATAAAAAGGGTTTTTTAACGAGCAATATGCTTCAGAAGTTTTAGAAAAGAGAATTACATTTATTTTTGATGCAATAGAATTTATCCTGTTTAATTAGAAAAATAAAGTGAACTGAGTTATCACCGCCCACATAATTAGCATTTACCTATTTCTTTGATTATCAGATATTACTAGCAAGAACTTTATTTCCACTGCTAACATTATATGTAATTACATTAGCCGTTCTTCAATTTAGTGAATTGCTTTCAGAACATACGTGCGGAACTCATACAGCTACCATTTGAGCGAGATTTTCTACACGATCGTCAACGAGTACACAGATTGGGAAAGAACGGTAGAGGTTTGTTTAATTATATAGCAGAGTAAATAGTGAACCTAATTCGTTTTTAGAATGTTGCTTTTGTAGGATAACTTTGATGTCTGTCGAGACCGTTTTTCTTAGGAAAGCGTTGAGACACCAAGATTAAACTGATATCAAATACACGGGGGTAACCCCTTAGGTTAGTGCAAAAAAAGGGCCATTTATGCTGTATATTTTAACGATCGTAAGGGGATCAAAACCTCATCATCATCGTCATCAGCCTATTAATACTACACGGGCCCAGTGCGGATTGGTGGATGTTAACGACTGCAGAATCAAGCGGGGACTCATAGCTAAACGTTTTTTCGGAAGCACGGAGGAGCTCGAGATCATAAGTTTTTGATCACCCATTCAATGAACAACCATTGCTAAAGTTGCTCCACTTCCACTATCGATAAAAAAATGCGGGAATGTAACCTAAATATATGTCTGAATTCACCAAAATATTTTTACTAGCAATTCAAAATTCATAGTGTGTAAGTCAAATAATAATTTAAAAATATAGCAAAAATAACTTATACTTAAAAATGAGGGATATTCTGGAGACCCAATTCCCGTGATGAGCGAAAGTACTTCGACTGAACCATTTTTTCCTTCAAATAATGTTGCTTTCTTGAATATTCCAAGTGTTGTATTTGCAATTTTATCGAAAAGCAAAACCGACCGACTGCATATTTAACGGAAGAATATTTTCGAATCTCATAACCGGGCCCCGAATCGAATCTTGACTCGAAGAAATAAAGAAAGAAGGAAATAAAGAAAACCTCAATTCCGTCAGTATTTACATTAGGATTCGGCCCTTTATTTAGAGGAGTATTCGAGATTTCGCCAAATCCGGATTCCCTTCTGCAAATTTCGTGACAAAGTATCGATTAACATACATTACCATAATCCATTGTTGTAGAACCCCATAAACACGAGAGATGCGACTGTGGCTGCGTTGTCTGATGCGCAATACGTGGCTCCGTTGGTGCAAAGCGGGGACTTATTGAGTGGCGGGCCTAAACCGACGCCTAATGACGAGGATGGACCAAGAAGGCAGACTAGAACATATTTTTACGTGTTCGACTATCAGACTAAAGATGGATACTATCCTCAAGTAAGTATGAAAAGAATTCTCGTCATCACCTTACCGCTGGGGCACATCATTCCCTAATGGAATGAGGAGATAAAGCCACAAGTCAACACGCATGAACTAAAACAAGAACCTAGTGCGAATTGGTGGATGCTACGCTCATTTGACATTCTTTCTGCATTTTATAATATTGTTACGTATAGGGATGGGGTTCGAAATTATATGCCAGTTCACGCTTGGCAGTTCTTTATTCACCACTCAGTTCACACAATGTTAAGTACAAAACCCTTACTTAACACTGTATTTCACTATACAGGTCTCTAAACTATCGCACGTGTACACTTTTGTTGCACTTTGACCGCCTTTGGATTCGCTCCGAAATCGCTGTTGAAACTCAACTCTTATATACGCCGATCGACGCATTCTAGAAAGTACCTGTTAAATTGAGAATTAGCTAGCACCCGCAAGTACAAAGTATCTTCTTATACCTACGCAGGTAACGCGCATAACTTGTTAACAAGAGCAGATGTGGTTGCACTTTCTCCCTTACGCCGCACTGTATAAGGCTTATTTTAGAATGAGCCGCACTACTCGACCTCTATCGCGACCCGCGGTGCTCTGGCACATTCGATCTCTAGCACTTTCGCGGTTCCGTTTCGAGAGCGTTTGTGACAATATTTTTTAATTTTAGGTCATTGTAGAAAGTGCTGGATTTATAAATTCTTTCTTCATGTCAAATTATTCTATCATCATTATCTCTATTTATTCTTACTGTCAGGTTACTGGAGTATTCCAATTAAAATTATTCATATTCTTCACTTACCACAAAGGCGGGTAATTAATCATCTCATATTCATTCACCAGATATTACAATTACTTTATTAATTAGTACAAGCTTCCATTCTCGTGAAATTACCTGCATATTCCTTCCCCGTAATACTTATGCTGAGCTTATTTCTCGGTGTTTTTCCAGAGCTTGCGTTTAATCAGCAATATCGGCAGCTCTTTTTATACGGTAAAGATTATTTGAACATGTACGAGTAAGTTTATTTTAATAAAGTTGATTGTCATTTTTTGTTGTTTCTGTTTAATTCATTGATGATGATTAAAGATAATCTTTGCTCAATCGAAACGTACTCGTAGTTCGTTTTGTAGCCGTTATATTTATACCTATCGGGGCGAATGGCGTATTGTATGTTATATCTGAAGTTTTGATAGCACTAAAGGTTATATTTTAAACTTGTTAAAATACTATTTTTATGTATATACTTATCTCAGGGTCATTTTGAGTTAACTGTGCATCAGAGGTGAAGTTTGAGAATACAAAATATATTGCCCACAGCACATATTGCACTGTAGAAATCGTCCCCTATTTGTACGCTAACTTTTAACTTACAAATAACGTTACAAACCCAGACTTTTCAATCCCATACAATAAACCAAATATTTGAAACATGCGCTTATGACAAGTATATTTTTTAGTTAACTACCTATTTTGAAACGTTGCATTTATCTTTATCTTTCAAAGGAACAGAAACTTTGCCTTGTCTACCCCTAAAAAATGGATGTGTGTACTTATGTACGTGCGTGAGAATTTATACTTCTTTGGCATCATTAAAAATTAATTTTTAATTTCATGCAAATAATTAATTACAATAAAATAATTAAAGGACTGGAAAAGGATAGTCAACGCAGTCATTAAAGTCCAAACATTGCGGAGATATATTGATTTGAAAAGTCGCGTGACGTCACGTTTGAGTACACTTATAAGTGAAAATTCGCGCTATAACATTGTCATTTTTTGTTTGATTGCCCAAAGAAAAAATACGTGTCCATTATTTTTAGATCATCTAACTGACGGCCTAAATAAAATTTCGTTTATTGTACCCCGTCATCACCCCTATTTATAAGCACATATATAATTCGCACTTGTATGAATCTAAAACACGTGTTGTGAATATAGAAACTAGAAACATGGGGTTAAATATTATAAATATGAAAACAGTGATCAGAGGCAACGAGCGTGCCAACATATGTGACTAATAGAGATTCTATTTCTATTTTGTTGGTAGCTTTTTTTGAGACTTAATGTGCGGTTTAGTGGCCAATTTCATGGTGTTACTTCTGTGTTACAGCGATGAGCGCGCATCTTAAAATTTCACTCTTATCATTTTTTCATAACGCGCCTAAAGAAGTATAACTTTAAAAATATTTCATGATGCGTTTTTGTTTCAGAGGATGGGAGCCGTGCACGGCGAAGAGCTGCCTTACGTATTCGGCGCACCACTAGTCGGCGGTTTCGGTCATTTTCCACAGAACTATACGAAATCTGAAGTGTCCCTGTCTGAGTCCATGATGCTGTTTGTGGCGAACTTCGCTAGGACCGGGTAAGGAGATCGCGATAATGATACCACGCAGAAACTATGTCGTTTAGTGTTGCTTACGAGTTTGTGATACTCTGTAACCTCTTTAGGTTTGCGGCTGTGCTTGTTAAGCAAAGGACAATGTTAAAATTGGCCTAAGAACCAACACCAATTTGGCATTTATGATAATTCTTAGTATATTTTTTGCGATAATTATCAGTATTTAGATTGTGACGGACACTTCCAGTTAAGTAAGCTAAATCAAAAAGTTAAAAAATAATCTGAGACAATAAATACCATTTTATGTTATAATTTCTATTATTTTAAAGCATGTAACTGCTTGATGTTTAAATCTAAAGAAAATATAACTAGAAAAAATTCCACGCGGACCAGGCAGCAGACGGGACTCGAACCCGCACCCTTCGCAATCCGGGCGAATGCACTGACCAATTATGCTACCGCGGCCCTCACGGACCACGTCGAAATTCTTCTAGCCATTCTTAAGCTGCAAGGCAGCGCCATCTCTTCGCATTATAGGTAACCCACAATGTCAAATGAATACTTTTACAAGTATTAAACATTTGAAAGAAGAAATAACAATTATAGTTATAATTTCTATTATTTTAAAGCATGTAACTGCTTGATGTTTAAATCTAAAGAAAATATAACTAGAAAAAATTGAAATAATGCGAAGAGATGGCGCTGCCTTGCAGCTTAAGAATGGCTAGAAGAATTTCGACGTGGTCCGTGAGGGCCGCGGTAGCATAATTGGTCAGTGCATTCGCCCGGATTGCGAAGGGTGCGGGTTCGAGTCCCGTCTGCTGCCTGGTCCGCGTGGAATTTTTTCTAGTTATATTTTCTTTAGATTTAAACATCAAGCAGTTACATGCTTTAAAATAATAGAAATTATAACTATAATTGCTATTTCTTCTTTCAAATGTTTAATACTTGTAAAAGTATTCATTTGACATTGTGGGTTACCTATAATGCGAAGAGATGGCGCTGCCTTGCAGCTTAAGAATGGCTAGAAGAATTTCGACGTGGTCCGTGAGGGCCGCGGTAGCATAATTGGTCAGTGCATTCGCCCGGATTGCGAAGGGTGCGGGTTCGAGTCCCGTCTGCTGCCTGGTCCGCGTGGAATTTTTTCTAGTTATATTTTCTTACCATTTTATGTGTTTAATCTATGACAGCGCTGTAAACAAAACATTCCTTCTTCCTAATGCCGGCATTTCACTTGGCTATTTGTATTTTCTATTTTAAAATATGACATCAGTCTGTTCTTTTCATTCCTTATTAAGGCAGACAAGGACAAACTGTTGCCAAGTGAAGGGCCGGCATAAAACTCGTTACTCTGTGGTTGTGGAGCAGGCAGTTCGCATTCGTAGTAATCTGTGGCATTCGTGCATTCCAAAGAGTAGTTTAAAATACCGGAAAGTGCATTCTAGTTTCGGATTACCTGTTGTGTGTGTTTATTTGCGATTGTTTTACATTTAATTTAACTATTTCGGCTACCTAATATGCCATCGAGCAGAGCCCTTATTACCAAGTGCTAGTGAACCTGTGCCACAACATCCTGAGAGGATCATACTGCCAAATTATTCAAGAACACCTGATACACATTCACGCTGCATATTTACACAATATACATGTGATATACAAATAAATACAAAACAATATGATAAAATTACTTATGTGAAAAATGGACAATAAATATGAAGTAAAACTACAGTTTTTATTTTAGTCATAATTCCTACCTAACCAAGTTTTTCCTAATAGTTATTCTTTAAAATCGCACCGAATAAAATAAATATTAATTCACTTCATACTGAGTTCATACTTACTTCATAAGGTTGACCTATGTTTCATTGAATATTAAACATAACCTCAAAAAAAATAGTTTTCCTAATAATTTAAGTTCTCAGAAGTGTCCGTCAATAATCTTTGTTTTTACAGTCATTTACTTACGATTTCGCACCTAGAAAATAATATTTCATGATTGCTGGTTCTTAGGCTAACTATGTATGGACGCTGAACAGTGTCCTTTCGCTAATAATGATAAAAGTCGACTATAAAACGAGGAGCTGGCGAACAAAATAGTATAATTACGCATCGGTTCAAACTATTTTTTTTTACAGTCCGGAGGTTTCAGGCCCGTGGGATTTGAATCTTAAATAATTTTCAATCAAAACTGCCTAAAACAGTGTAAAAAATACTATTTTTTTTAATTAATGTCATTCAGTTTTATACAGCTCCTGCAAAATTAAATTTTATGTAATTATACCGTTTTGTTCGCCAGCACTCAGCGATAACACTGCCTTTACCCACCATGGTTTACTATCTTTTTTTAAAATCCTTTAATTGTGTATGTGTACTCACACATACAGATCTTCGGTCTATATCTATATATATAAAACTCAAAGGTGACTGACTGACATAGTGATCTATCAACGCACAGCCCAAACCAGTGGACGGATCGAGCTGAAATTTGGCATGCAGGTAGATGTTATGACGTAGGCATCCGCTAAGAAAGGATTTTGATCAATTCTACCCCCAAGGGGATAAAATAAGGAATGAAAGTTTGTATGAAACTTGTCAATTTTAAACCGATTGGGCTGAGACTTTGCATGCAGGTATAAGAAGAATCATAGATGAATGTCATAGTGTATAATACAAGCCTGAGAACAAAAACTGTAGTCTAGTAACTTCAGCTCTACATCGAAGCGAAGCGAGGGCGGGTCGCTAGTTACTGAATAAAGATTATATCTATCTGTTTGAGCTTCTTTCGCATCTCAAGCCACCACATTGCGGAAACAAATGACATATTTCGGGTCAAAAATAGTTGTTGGTCGGATCACGTAATTCCAAATGTAAGTACGAAAATCTTAATTAAAATATGCCTTGTTCTGTGTTGTGTAATAACAGATTACGTTAGATCAATGATTTATTTATCAGTAATTTAGTAAACAGCTAACATTGATTACATTTTAATTCAAGTTAACGAAAAACACTCGACGAAATAAATGAAAGAACACAAAAAAAAACATAATAAAAAGGAAAGCCGGCAGACGTACAATCTCATTTTAATTAATAATTTATACAAAATTCGTTCGGCCTGCCACACGAGACCGCTAAAACGGTATCTCCCTATGGTATGCTTCTCTCTGCTCACAATTGTGTTCCACGTTTTCTTCATAAATAAAACATGGCGGGGTATCACTGTAAGTAGAAGTTCGTGACCTGACAAATATTTACAGCAACATTCATTTCGCCGGAGCTTACTGAGAGATGACTTGGGCTTTTTCACTAAAATATCATACGCCTAGATAAAGTTTTCTTAGTGTTTTGTGACGTCAACATCATGAGGCAAAGAAAAATTAGTTATTTTTAGCTCCGGAAAAAATCTGTAATAGGTAATTCTTTTTTAATAAGTCCATTTTGTTTTAGGATTGTTTCGGATTGTGTAACTAATATCAGAGGGCGTTCGCAAATTGGTTGTAATTTACTACAGACAAACTTTTTTTTATTATTTGTCTGTTTTAGTATTGTTTGTTCTTCTAATTAAGACAATATGGATAGCGGCGTGTTAGCGACGATATTACAGACTCTTTTAATGAAATGAAAAGTCTTATATTCAGTCTAGGCTGTTACAAGCACTTGTGAAGGTCAAGAAGCTACGCCATCGGCTCGGAAAACTACAGCGGGAGACCTTGTACGGAGAAGAACCGGCAAGAAACTCAGCAAGGGCTGTTTTTTCTCCCTGTATTGTTATATAAAGAGTCGTCAAGTTGAAAAATGATTTCAGAGATACGTCTGAAGTCAACTTCCATTACATCATTTAGAATATAAATATATAGTTACAATAAATTTTATAGTTAACATTATATTTAGTATATAGGAAGCGGCATTAGATATATTACTGTTATGAAAAATTACTAATACCCATCAAATAACAAATTACAAGAAACGCTATGTCCATGCAATGTAAATTACATAGTATATTTGAAAAAAGTTACACCAATTATTAAGTTTGGAACTAGGAATAGCTCATACTGTGGCACAGTGTTTTATGGAACCAAAAAAATTTACATGTTCAGGTTTTTACATAAATAGATTATTTATACCCTAAAAAAGGCATGAGTTCAAATCCCAGAAGTCTAACTCAAATACTTTTTGAGAAAAAAAATCATGAACTTATCGTGACCTTTGACCTATGAAATCTAGAATATTTTTTTATGAAGTGAATATTAACAATATATTTTTTTAATAAATATGTGTCAATCGGGCATAATCAGAGGCGTATAAACGCGTTTCTTTAGCTTAAAAAAATGCATTGGTTTGGGAGCAGATTTTTTTTTTGTATTTCGTATTTATTGTTTTTTCTCCCTAAAAACGAAAAAGTGGAACCTAGAACTTCGATAGAAATAAACCTACGGATGTGGTCTATCATACATAAATAAGCCACGTGTCACTTTTGCGGCGATTAGAAGATATTCATTTTTAAATTTTTATGCTAGGGTTGACACCGAACCTGACCTCGAACGAAAATTTTTAAAATATAAATTTGTGTCTTAGTTTTGAACGAGTTTACAATAATGTAGATTTTAGGAACTTACTACAGTACCTTTAACATATTTTTATGGGCTCCAAGCTCTATTTGCAAAAAAGGAACGCTTATGGTGATTCCCAGTCAAGGCGGAAGTCATTATAATGAATATCGATGTTCGTTTTCGGGTCTGAGTATTAACTATTAACTATTAATTGTTTGTTTTGTGTGTGTGTTTTGGAGACCCAATTAGACACAAGTTCATGCCTGCTTACCTCTACGTTTTTTTTTGTAACAATAATAGTTACACCTACTAACTGATTTATGCCATGATTCTGAATGAATTTTGAAATTTTTTTCAAGCAACATAGTTCATTTTTTCGTTACCGTTTAGCGTGTAAGGTACAAAGTTAAAATGTGGTCGAACAAACATAAAGTATTCCTACATTATCACATCTACATTAGGCAGGTACCTAGTATA